CCTTGGTATCGGCTTCCATTTCAGCCGAGATGTTTTGACTGTAACTCTCTTTTTGACTTGAAGCATTGTTCCCCTGTTTTCTGGGGTTATATTGTTGTGGGATGCACACGCCTGTCTACATGAATTACGGAAATTAATTCAGAAAATGAATTAAAGAAAGGTGTATCCCGCTTCCATGGAAAGCAGGAGGCTAGCAGTAGCACCTGCTTCTTCCTTGGTAACAAAGTGAAATTCAGTGAAAGACGTTTTGTCTTCAAAACTCATGCTCTTTAAATTAAAATGCATTTCCAGCATTGAACTTGGTTTCTTACTGTTTAGGAGACACGCTTATTCTGCGTCATGGAATTGGAGAGAAAAGAAAATCCACAGAGAAATGATGTTGTCGATATTTTCCTGATTTGATTCAGAAAGAGTGAATTTGAAACTTGTCCATAGCTTTACACAAATCTCTTTATGAATGGTTGAGTTTTTCTCTTTTGTTTGATGGGGGTTTTTTTGCCTATTGGACTCACAAAGGAAAGGTGTGTAGCATGTTGTGTTCTGCATCCTGAGTGAAAGAAAAGAATGTCCCACGATTTGGGGACGGGAGGATAATGCAATAGTGGGCCGTCTTCCTTTTTGCATCCTGGTTGGCAGTTCTCTGGTTTACTCTTCATGATATTTAATTCATACAGAGGTGAAGGTGCAAAAAGGTTTGTTTCAGATATTGAGGTTTAGATTTATTGGAGATGTCGGGGCTTTGGAGAATAGTAGGTTTTTAAACTTCTGATTTTTACAAGGATAGACATCTGAGAGTATCAAGTATCAAGGAGATTAGCCAAATGACAGATCAGGCACTTGAATCAAACTCATTTGTACATTTTTCATGGGTCAGCAGAGTTTCAATTAGGCAGCTATACTTTTCTTCTACCGTTCTACAAACTTTCCTTGGTAATGTTGTACCAATCTGATTAAAAAATCCTTTTCCTGATATACTGTCTTAGTGCACTTCAATGCTTTGCAGGTTGATTCTTGATAAATTCTTTTCCTTGTGGCTATACAATTACTTGATGCGGTGTAAATAGTAAGGAAACACTAAATTTAGCAGACGATCTTGATTCCGTCAAGTTTTCCTTTGAGAATATTAGCTACATCTTTATTTATACCTGTAACAATCATATGACAATTAGCTCCCTGAGTTCAAGAACCATGCAATTGTTATCGTCCCGCTTATGTTAATGAGCCTGATTGCTCAGGCTATCGGTGTGTGTGGGCGTGTATCTAATGTTTTCAACCTCGGACCCCGTTGCTGAAGAGGTTTTTGAACAAAGAGGGTAAAACTAATGGTAATCTAGAGCTTGAAATGGGGAAAAATATGCTTTAATATACATATATTGCC